TTCCCAGTGTCTGGTGGGGGGCGTGGGGGGCTGTGGCCTGAGGGGCTGTTTTGCACATTCACACTGCAGGGGCGGGGCGGAGGGGAGCTGCTCTCCCTCACACACAGCTCTACTGTCACAGACACCACAACACCAGTCACCACAACCTTGTCACGTGCACTACAAGAGGGGACGGCCGCCCCACCCCGGCCCTTGGAGGCCATCCCAGGGGACGTCCCATGGGCCTCTGGGCTACCCGGGAATGCACCAGTCTACCCGCGCCCTGACCCCCCAAAGAAGAAGCCACAGGCTGCGGGACAGAACTCACGCCTCCCCGGACACCCTGCCTGACAAATGTCTACCAGAATGCAAGGAGCAGGGCGAGGAGGAGGGTGCTGAGCAGGGGCCGGGGTGCCGGGGACAGCCCCGCAGTGGCCACCCCGCCCGGCAGCTCCCGAGTCCTCTCGTACAGATGCAGCTTGTCTTTGTTGGAGTGCAGCATCTTGACGTCCTCCAGCGCGTAGTAGGCGGCCAGCGTGAAGTTCACGTCGCCCGTGGTGAGCAGGTCGAAGACGCAGGCCTGGTAGTACAGGTCCTCCACGGGCAGCTTCTCCTTACACTTGGCCACGGCCGTCTCGTACGGGAAGGTCTCCGGGGCCGCGGGTGCGGGGCTGGTGGCCGCCGGCCTGCGGGCACTGGGGCCCTCGGCGTTGGCATGGAAGGCCTGGAAGTCGATCTGCTGGTTGAGGGGACAGCCTCGCAGGCAGAGGTAGAGGCCCTGGCTGTCCCGGTCCTCCACAGCGTTGACCACCTCCTCGGGCATGCGCACCGCGAAGGTCAGGTAGCGGCCCACCTGGCGCACCACGATGGTGGTGCCGATGTACTTGGCCTGGATCTCCACGTGCTGGCCCGACACCTTCTCGGTGATCTTCAGGCTGTTGGCCCCATGCTTGTCCCTCGCAGGCAGAGGTAGAGGCCCTGGCTGTCCCGGTCCTCCACAGCGTTGACCACCTCCTCGGGCATGCGCACCGCGAAGGTCAGGTAGCGGCCCACCTGGCGCACCACGATGGTGGTGCCGATGTACTTGGCCTGGATCTCCACGTGCTGGCCCGACACCTTCTCGGTGATCTTCAGGCTGTTGGCCCCGTGCTTGTCCCCGCCGTTCTTGGAGCCGTCGGCGAAGGCGGCCGGCAGCTCGTCCATCTCCGCCTGGTACACCTTCTGGTCCACACACTCCTGGAAGTTCTTGAAGATGATGGTGAGCTGCAGGGGAGGGACAGAGGAGACTGGGTCAGGGGTGCAGCACCCACTGGGAAGAAACAACTGCCGTGATCTCGGGATGCTCTGGATGAGAGGAGGGACACAGAGCAGCCCCCGGGGTGTCCCAGACACCGCCTTTCTGACACAGAGTAGCTCAGCCCCCCCCACCCCCCGCACTATCATACGTGTAATACCTTTTTTTTAAAGAAAGATTTTTGCTATATGGTGCGTGTGCTCACAGAGAGACAAAGAGAGACAGCGAGAAATCACCCCCCAGGGCAGATGCCTATGCTGCAATCCCTTGTCCTCCATTCTCCTCTCGGGATTTTGGGTATGCACACGCGGCTTGAATTTTAAGCTACCGGGTCCTGGACTCAAACCATGGTCAACGATGTGGGAGTCCAGCAATGTAACCATTAAGCTATCTGCTGGTCCCAAGTTTGCCCTTTTTACTAAAAAAAAAAATTAGATAGGGGCCAGCCCCATAGTCCAGTGGTTACAGGAGCCAGATCCCACATGGCCAAGCATGGTTCAAATCTTGGCCCTAGCAGCCCTTCAAGCCAGTGGCCTGAAACTCATGCTAGGTGTGTGTGCGTGCGTGCCCAAGATCCCACGTAGAAAGTGGAGGAGAAGGGATTGTGGCTGTCCCCCAAGGGGGTGATTTCTCACTTTCCCTCTGACTGCCTCTTATTTCTCTCTGGTCAGTGCATGCACCCTAGGGCAAAAACTTCTAAAATAAAAAAAAAAGAGGCCTGAGGATGGGAAAGGGGGCTCAGGGGCCATAGAACATTCTAGGATAACAAGCTAACAGGATAGTAAGAGCCAGGTGAAGGGGTCCCTGGCTTTGGGTCAATGATGTGCTAAGGGCCTCCCACCCCATCAGATCTCAGGGGTCACCACGCAGAGGTGGGTGTTGGTGGCCAGAGGGAACTGGGACCATCAACAGACCCCAAGAAGACCCCAGGTCAAGGAAAATCCCTCTTCTCAGCCTACTACTTACAAAGGAAAGGATATGGGTAGGACCTGCAGATGTCATGGTGGTTACGTCGTGGGACTCCCCATGGACGACAACGGATCAAGTCCCAGACCAGGTGGCTTGAAAACATGCCAGGCACGTGTGTGTGTGTGCGTGTGTGTGTATGTGTGTGTGTGCCCAAGATCCCAGAAGGAGAATGGAGACAGGACTGTGGCATGGTCATTCCCCAGGGGGTGTGATTTCTCACTTTCCCTCTCACTGCCTCTCTCTCTCTCT